GAATTGTAAAGTGAAAACTGAAAGTTCATTATTCAGGTCTTAAAAAATATTTCACATTGGACACAAATATACGACCTCATCCATCTTTCTTGAACGCTGAATCCCATAAGGAGTTCCTCGCTCGTATACAATAACACGGGCAACCAATATTGGGACCTCCTGTTTTTTGGAATGGCGGCTCTTTGGGGAGAAGAATAATCTTAACAATATAAAAGTGCGGGAAAAAAAGCAGCGGCTGATTGACGTTTTTGTAAGTTAGTTAAATTGTGTAGGTTTTGAAGAAAACTGAACCACAAATGATACTTACTATGCAACTAATTTACCTTATAAGTTAATTCACCACCGTGTGAAAGCTGAAAGCAAAACATCGATTAAGAAGGTTATTGAATTATTATTTTACAGCTGTTTTAATAATATTGAGTTTGTACAACACACACACACACACACACCACATCACCACACACACACACACACACACACACACACACACACACACACACACACACACACACCACACACACACACCCACACACACACACACACACACACACACACACACACACACACACACACACCCACACCACACACAACACACACACACACACACACACACACACACACACACACCACGCTGTGGTTAGATTTGGATGCCTCATAATAAACAACTTCTAATTGATAGGCTTGTCTGTTCTGGCAAGTAAGGGCAGATTGTTACCGCAGTGCTTGAGGTTGTTACCGGGGCAACAAGCACACAACTACAAAACCTCTGACCTGTACACAGACTGATTACACGCTGAGATGAGACACAGGGGGGGGGGGAGACAGAGAGAAATGATGGGAGTGCTCAAAAAAAGGGAAAACCAATCCAGTTAGAGGGAGGAAGAAAAGATGGAAAATAATAGAATATGTTTCCTTTATTGGCTAATCAGCTGAAGTCTGGGTGAATCCGATGTTTGTGTTTCGTATTGGATATGGTCTCTTGTACGTTTAGTAGAAATATTAAATAAAGAGCTTATGTAGATGGGCAAAGAGGGGCCTCAATAGAAAGGGTAACTTAAAATACATTTGTAGAGCAGGGTAACGATTTCAAGAGTGAAATATATAGGTATAATTAATCCTAATGTATAATTGGAAAATGGCCGAGGGGGGAATAATTGTAATTTAAGTTTAAATAAATTAAGTGTTAAGCCTCCAATCTAAATGTAATATAACAGCATGCACAGGTTGTTCTATAAAATGCACAACCTTGATACAGTTTACCCCAGAGGTAAGTTGAAAAGGGTTAGGGTTAGACAATCACGTTTTAGTTAGGGCTTTTTACACTGCAATCTACAACTGAAGAATGAAACATTCCCAGTAGTTAACCAGGGAAATGAAGAGTCAATTTAGGTCGAGTCACTTTTATTTATGTAGCCTGATGTCACGAATCCCAAATGTGCCCTATGGGGCCTTTGCAATCAGTAGAGCAATCTGTCTTTTGCAGATAAAAGAAACATCCCCCGACAAAAGCCCGGGATAAAAATAGAAGAAACCTCACGAAGAGCAACCGAGGAGGAATCCCTCTCCCACAGCAGACAGACGTGTGAGAGATTGTGTCTCCTTTGAACAAAATGATACCTAAAAGGACATATATGGAGAAACTCGATCAGACTAGGGACAGATAGAAGCCCTGCGGTCTCAAAGAGTCCTGATTGGACTATAAGGTTTAAGGGGATCAAACAGGTAAGAACGAAACATGCCCAATTAGAATTGTGAAAGTTATCAGAAGCACCTTAAGGTCTGACATGGATAGGGATCAAGCGAGGTATTTTACGTAGGTGAAAGAAAGCAAATTGTTGATATCTTTATTGTGCAGATAGGATATGAATAAAAGTGTTCTGCCTTTCCAGTCTGCATGTACAGTACAGTATACCACCATGAACATTGTATACAAGAAACAGTCTGCATAATAGCTTCATTTGGAAATTCAGATTCAGCTTGGATTGTAAGTAAAAAATGGACTGTACTTATATGGACTGTACTTATATGGACTGTACTTATATAGCGCTGTATCCAGTCTTTAAGACCCCTCAAAGCACTTTACATACTACATGTCATTCACCCATTCACACCCATTCATACAGAGCAGTGTACCTTACTCTAGGACCTAACATTCACACACCGTTGGCCATGCCATCGGGAGCAACTCAGGGTTAAGTATCTTGCCCAAGGATACATCGACATGTTGACTGCATGGGCTGGGATCGAACCCACAACCTTCTGGTTGAAAGACGACCACACTCCCTCACAGCCACAGTCGCCCTAAGTAAATAAATGTCCATTTTAAACAGCGATAACATGAAAATGGCAACAGTTTTCACAATGCTTTTGAATTAGAGCAATACATAGATTTGTGTCACAGTAAGGACTTTGATACAAGAGGTAACATTTTAACTTTTCTTACTGAAAACCAACATTTACTACAAAATGAGGTTCTTTCCAAATGTGACTAATGCATTTTTTGTATTACATTAGTACTTATTATGGGGAGAATTAAATATATCTAATCAAGACATTCAAGGGAAAGTCCATCTTTTCAATCTGACGAATAAGTTACCAATTGGTAAAACCTACACACACATTTTTGGAAACGATCCTGTCACTTCTTCCCGCCATGTTTATCCTCTCTTCTTGCTTCTTCTCCATCTTTCCTCCAACACAGTTTCAGAACCCGTACGCATACTCGCCTCCGTTCCGCTTCGGGACGGTTCCAAACGGATCAACAGAGAGAAACATCAGGAAAAACTACCCCGCTATGCACCAGTACATGACAAAATATCATCAAACTGGAGTCGTGGACGCACTTGTCACCCTCAAAACGGGGTAAGGGAACACTATGTGTGCTATGATTGCGAGTTAGAGATTCCTTTTACTGATCCGTGATCAAATACTTGTTCAGTAATGCAAAACATATTCACCTGTCAACCTCGAAAAGAAACACTCTGTTGTTGGGCTCCTACAAATAGATGTGTGTGTCATTGCATGTCTGTGAGTGTGCTTTCTGTCATGTGTTCCAGTGTGTGTGTGTGTGTGTGTGTGTGTGAGACAGGGGATAAATGGGTTTCCTCATTGGGAACAGCAGGAGCTATTTTTAGTACCGGTCTCTACAATAGGAGCGGCGGTGGGGCTGCAATGGAAGTATATTGACGACAAACATTTTGAGAGAGCACAGAACAAATTTGAGCGCTAGTCAGTCTGCAAGTAAACCTTTGAAACCGCAAAGGGGCGGATCTGTAAAAGCAGAATTAGATTTGCCGACGCAGAAGGCCAGCGTCGTAGCGTGACGAATGGTTCGGCTATTCAATAGAGGAATTGTATATCTACATCTGAGCCATTCACCTGTAAGAGAAAGGTTATTTTATTAGACTTTTTCCATTCCTTTCAAGTAGTTTTAACGGAAAAAGTTGTATAATATTTATTGTAAAAACATACCCTACCAGTATGAATAGCACACTATGGGTATCAGTCTGGTTGCCAGAATGTATAGTGCAAACCAAATGCTCCTTAAAATGGATTTTGTAGTCTAAACAATAAGGGATATACGCGTTTAAATAGTCAAATAACATGTTGTCCCTCAGCATATATGGCCCTCTTTGGAGGGATTTTATTTTTAACTCTCAAATCTTGAAGTTCTGCTCTTACAAATCTTCGCCTGTGCTCTCTCAAATGTTGTCTTGCAGACTGAATAGCGCTCAGAATTTGCTTTATGCTCTCTTAGATCTTTTGTTGTCAATATGCTTCCATGTTATGTGTGTGTAAGAGAGAGAGGAAGGCTTCTCACCACAGTTAGAGTGAAAGATTAGAACCATTAGGGTTGAAAGGACGAGGTGAAAAGGGAAAAGTAGAGCTCAAGGCAGGAGGAGCAGAGGCAGAGGGTTGACTCTCATAGCACAATCACATGGGAATAAGAGGAAAGGGACGGGGTAGGGGGCCAAGGGCAGGAGACCTGATTGGAGGAAGTGTGAAGGGCAGGCGTAAAGAGCAAAGAGACAAGAGGGGAAGAAGGTGGTAATGGGATGGAAAAGGAAGGGCAAGAGAAAGAGGGAATTGAGGGTAAGAGGGGAAAGGGGAATGGGACGGGAGATAGAGGAAGGGGACATTAAGGAATGGAGATATGGTGTAAGAGAAAAACATGTTGGCAGTAGAGGACATAAGGTTGATCGGGTGATATGACAAGATGTTATAACTGATTGGTTAATGGCTACAGGGTTGGATCCAATCAGAGTTCTCCATTTGAAGGACGGGCTGCCTCGTGGTAAAAATAAGGGAAAATAAGAATGTGATCCATGATTTTTATGCAGATATGTATCTCGAGCTTACTCTCTCTCATCCATTAGTCATAAGTAAACTGAATGTAAGCACCTAGGTTAAACCACTGCTGCATGTACAATGCCCTCGTCTGTGTTGTTGTATTGTATGGTAAATACAAATAAGCAAAACCCCGGTTTACTAATAAGACATGCACGCAAGCTTTAGAAGTAACGCTCGTGTGTATCCGCACACCAACTGGCTGCAGGTGTGTGTATCCAGTAATACCCTCATTGATAATTCTATTCTGCGGTATTAGCAGATGAGCAACACGGCGGCGTTCAGCTGTTTGAGGCTCGATGGCTGGATTAGCTGTGATCACACATAATGCTGACAGGCTTTACATGCCAAATCTGTTGCAGCCACAAGACGCAAAACTATGCACCGAGGAGTTGAATTGATTACGGGATTTAAATTACCCGCAGTACCAGCAAGGTTTAGAATTTGTAAAGGTCAATTAAGGATACAATGTTGATTAATATTTCATATCCACATTATGCCAGTGTCCTAGCAACAGGAGAAACACACCCTCTGTCTGCACTGTCTGCACAGCGGGATCCCAATGCAGGGTGTTTTGGGAACACAATGACTGTCGGATATCATGGCACTGCACAAAGTCTCACATGCAAATATGGATACAGAGGAGCAGAGGATTTACTGCTGTTGTGGTAACTTTCAGTGTTTTCAGAGATTCAACACGAAGGCACCTCATTGGCCTTCAACCTGAACTGTTTGTGTTTCCTTTCCTCTCAGGCGGACCCCTTGAGTTTTTATGACACAGTGCTGCTGTCAGTCTTAAAAACAGCCTTAAATGCTTTAACTGAAACATCATGTTTGATACATAACATAGCCTTTCTGTTCTGCGGTGGAATACAGATTTGTACACATTAAGCTCCGTTGAGTTCAACTAAAACTTTGATGTCTTAGGGCAACGTTTATGCCGACATTTTCTAGCAAAAGGTCAAACCATGAAACATTTAGAATGTCCAGTTCAATGTGAATTAGGATCTCTGAAGAAGTTCTGCTAAAATGTTTTCTTCGGGGTCAAGATGGAGTTCATGTTATTTACTGCACTGCAGTGTCCCTGTAGTGGTGGAAAAACACGATTAACAGTCACGCTAAATGCCGTGTTAGAGATTACATTCAGAGGTATAAATGAAAAGTGGCAAAAAAAAAACGATATCTCATCCATCCGAAAAAAAGGTGTGACATATTGTGATGGCTAAATCCCTCTCCAAGCCATTAGAGCTGCAGTATGTCTGGCTGCTGGCAAGCACACAAGTGAGCAGCCACAATCACACTGATACGCAAGTGGACACACACACGGACACAGACGGACACACGCGGCTGGTTCCCTACATGTTTGGACACACAGCCTGCGTGTGGATGGAGCCAGTGCTGGGTTAAGCTAATTACACAGCTGAAGTATCGGCTGTGAGCCTCCGTTAGAGGGCTGGATCTGACATTCAGTAAATGCCAGCCAGTCACTGGACTATTAGCAAGGCTATCTGTGTGTGTATATATGTGTGTGTGTGTGTGTGTGTGTGTGTGTGTGTGTGTGTGTGTGTGTGTGTGTGTGTGTGTGTGTGTCCGATCCAACACGGAGAGAGTGAAAGAGCAGCGGTTAGTAACGGCATCAGTTACACGGAAAATGTCAGTCTGGAATCTTGGAGTTTCTACGTTCTACTTCGCAACCTTCCCGTGTGTGTGTGTGTGTGTGTGTGTGTGTGTGTGTGTGTGTGTGTGTGTGTGTGTGTGTGTGTGTGTGTGTGTGTGTAGGCAGAAAGTGAGATTGTGTCTGTCAAAAGTTTGTTTAGGTCAGCCATGTGCCTCCAAGGTCCTATCATCAGCGAAGCGTGCTGTATTGAACCGCAGCCCCTCCCCGCTGTGTCCTGTGTGTGTTTGGTTACGCTTGGATTACACTCCTATTGTAGATGATTTAACACCTTCGAATTGATCCACAAACAACACGTTCTGAGAGAGAAGCTGCCTCTCCTGCTTTTTCCTCACTCTTTAAACAAAACAAAAACTTGAAAGCCCTCATGCATCTTTATCCCTTCCCTCTGTCTGTTTTCTTTCTGTCTCTTTCCTCGGGTCTTGTTTCTCCTCCTTTGCAGGAAACTGGACGCCTTCATCTACGATGCTGCGGTGTTGAACTACGCGGCCGGCAGAGATGAGGGATGTAAGCTGGTGACCATTGGCAGCGGGTAACCAAAGCTTTAATTCTTTTCAAAAGACACTTTTAAGTGTGGATTGTCTTCACTTCATCGTCTGATCCTGCCATTCTTTGGTCCAATCCATTGCGTCAACTTGCGTTACGGGTTTGTTTTATATTTGTAACGCAAACGTTCTGTGCTTTCAAACGTATACGTGTAAAAGTTCGCTTTCTTGCTGAGAGTTAGATGAGAAGAATGACCACCCTCATGTCTGTACAGTAAGTATGAAGCTACCACCAGCAGCTGGCTAACTTAGCTTAGCACAACGAGTGAAAACAGAGGGAAACAGCTAGCCTGCCTCTGTTCAAAGGTAACAACATGTGTTTACCAGCTCCTTTAAAGGTCACTGAAACACACGTTATATCTTGTTCGTTCAATCAGAACAAAACAAAACAGAAAAGTGTATTACAGACGGCTATTTACCAAACTATGCCAAAGTCTGGACCTATTGGCGGGAAACACAATCAACCGGTCAAAAATCTTCAGGTGCCAGATTGCACATGCATTCGACAAAAATGTACACCAATCAAATATGTTTAAATTCGATTTTTCTCATGCCCATATTTACATTGTAAGTATGATTGGTCTTTGTCAATCGTTTCTCCTCTCTGTACCGGCTGCAAAGAGATCCGCTTTTAAAGCGATTAAACACTAAAAGTTGCATTAAGAAGGGACCTTTTCAAGGCCAGTGCGGAGCGGAGGGGTAAGTAAAGCGGCCAAAAGTGTTCCAATGTACATATGGGGCTGCATTGCTATGAGATAGAACTGAACAAATGCAAATCTACCCTTTGAGAGCTTCTCTTTGGGCACAAAAATCTGTCAATTTGATTGTTCATCTGTGACCTAAATGTCCACTTCACGACATTTATATGTGTTTATAGGTACACCTTGTAGAGGAAAATTAATTTGTTTGAAGGTGAAGATGTTTTCTGTTTGTGTGTGTGTTCATTGGCTGTGCTTGTGTTCAGGTACATCTTTGCTACCACTGGTTACGGCATTGCTCTACAGAAAGGTTCCTACTGGAAACGACAGGTGGATCTGGCTATCCTGGCCATCATCGGAGATGGTGAGAAACACACTCACACGGCGTTCTCATATCTAAATTCAAAGTGCAAGACACAGTCCACGAAAAGGCAAAAGGTTACATTGTTCTTTGCCAGAATCACACGCTGATACACGCACACACACACGCACACACACACACACACACACACACACACACACACACACACACACACACACACACACACACACACACACACACACACACACATGACTCCACTGCCTTGTCTGCTGACAGCACAAAGGGAAAGCAGTGAAGTATAAATAGTCCTTTGATGTTATTCTGGACACAAAAGTCTGCTCCAAACAGAGGGCAGAGTGTGTAAGTTATTCTAATATATTCTTCTCTGCAGCACCAGATCTGCATGTGTGTGTGTGTGTGTGAGCATTGCTCGATCCGATTCACCACATTCTTTTATTACAGCAGCTTCAGAAGTTCTTACATAAACAATTTCCAACTGCCGCAAAACAGAGAGTAAAACAACTCCAGCTTTTAGTGACAGATTCATTTACATTTTACATCGAAAGCATTTTGCTGATGCGAGCGTTCACAGCCACTCACATTAAGTGCACTGAAGTTGATTAAGTGAACATTGGTGTCACAATAATCCTCTCCAACCGATTCTTATCAGGGCTCCGGAGCACACAGGCCGCGCTCCATCATATTCAATGGCTGGATCATTGATGAAAAACATCTGGTTCAGTGTTTCTGTTTTCATCTCGCTTTTAATAATGCCATTTCATCTTTTTGTTACACTTGTTGCTCTTCTCATTTAATGCAAATACACACGGAGGGTGTTTTATAAATCTATAAATATAAGCGTTTGCAGTTTAATAACTACAGCCTTGTTTAAAGAGGCTCTCTAATCCTTTGTGGGGTTGTCCCTTTCCTGTGGTGTTATATAGGTTTTAGTGCATGTAAATGGTCTGTAAAGGATACAATCCCCCGGAGAGGAGGTTTCTCTCCCACACACTCCATTGGACTCCTTAGTGACATCACTACGTAACACGCACACTTATATTTGGTAGTACTACAACACATTGCACCTGATAGGCTAAGGGGTTGGACATCTCTAAGCAGTTGGCCAATCAAAACAGAGCCGGTCAGCTAGCCAATCAGAGCAGACTGGGCTCTGGTTTCAGACAGAGGGTGAAAAGAGGTGCTGCAGCACAGGCAGTATGAGAACAATAAAGACCTTTTTGAACATTAAAGCATGGAGACATGTCAGAGTAGAGGCAGAAAATACAAATATGAACCGGCGAATCAAATCAAATCAGGTTTTATTTATATAGCACATTTTAAAAACGGTTTTTAAAAAGTGCTGTACATGCAAATAATAAATAACACATTACTACAATCGCAAACAGAAGACAATGAATTACAACAGCAAATATAAAAATGAAACTCAGGGAAATGTGAAGTGAATGAGCAGAATGTGTCCTCTCCAAAAGTAATAGAGAGAAAGTGAGCATTGTGGCCAGAGAGAGGTCAAAGAGAGGATCAGCAAAGGAGTATGGTTTGAGAGGAAGACGAGGACTTGACTTTGTGTCAGGGAGAGAGGAAGAGAGATGGTAAAGGGGGGAGGGCAGGTCCTTGATAGATGACAGTGACTCTGTGTCTTGGCAGATGCTACTTGATCAGATAGACACAGATTGGGTGCAGAGCATATGGCTTTTCACAGACAGAGCGAAGATGTGTACACAGAAGGGTGGAGGAAGGTGAAGAACAAACACACTGAGAGAGAGAGAGAGAGAAACACATGGCACTCGCCGGTCATATTTTTCCTGAATGGAAATGGAAAAACTGTTTTCTCATGCAGTGCCAGTTTAGCAATACTATGGAAAAGTCCCAAATTGGTGTTCTCACTACTTTTTTTAATCCTCGTTTCCGAATGCACAATCCTGATTGAAAGTACATTTTTCGTAAAAGCAGCAATAGTTCACATTTAGTTTCAACAGTGTTGCAAGATTGTAATCTGTCAGACTTTAATATCAGTCAGTCAGGGTCTGGACTTATCGTGCTCCAGTATTTATGAAGGAGAGTGCAGGTAAGCATTCTGAAGAAACTTGAAATAAGTGAGTGTGCTGAACTGGAATGGATTTTTGAGGTTCATAATTATTTAAATGAGATGACAGAAGGTTTTGTAACAGGACTCAAACGTCTTACATAAATACAACAAATATTCTGAGTCTTAAATGCTTTTCACATGCCTCAAAATTGTGAGTATAGACTGGCGTTCTTGTGTTGCAACTGACTGGTCTCCAGACTATTGCTTGAGTTGTCTGATGGCTTAAAAGGGAACAACATTTTAATTTCAGCAATACATTCTTACCGCAGTTACATCAAGTGCAAGCAAGTCATAACTCCCCAAAGCTTTTCCCTTATAGACAGATAGAAAAATGTCTGCACCTCCTAATGTCGTATTAGAAACGCTAGATACGGCTATTCATTTATTTAAAAATCCAGGAGGACACAAATTCTCATCAATTCTCTGAAAGGTTCAATGGTGTGTTAGTGAGTCCCCTCAAGACATCTCGCTGAACATCACCATGATATTTGTCTTACCCCACTAGCCCTGAATGACACAGATTGGATTAGCCACGCGCCAAATGTCACGGATGAAGCCAAAGGAGAAGGGGGGGGGCTGAAGAAAGTGAATACAGAGTGAGGGATGAAAAAAGATAAGGTCTTTCTACCTTTCTTTCTTTTATAAACACTAAAGAAACAATCTCTTTGCCCGATCAGGCAACATGAAGGCGACCTGAAGCCCAGTGGCAGACATTTCTTTTTAACAACCCCTGAAGAAAAACAGACATTTATCGACACTGACACTTTTAAAGCTAAATTGACCCGAATGTAGACGTGTCTTTTTTACAAAAATACATGAAACAGATCCTTGTTGTGTTCAAAAACCACTTCAATACAAATTGAAAACGACCAAACTTCCCTTCTTCCTTTTAGTTAATGCTAATGATGTCCCTCTTTTCAGATGATATCACCATTTACAATAAAATAATTTAACCCCAAAAAGAAAATATAAAATCCAAGAAGATTTTGCAACAGCCCATAAAGGAACTCCAGTAGAAATTCTTAATGTGTCTCATTCAGGGTTATAAACTTATTTTAGACCCTCCAGAAAAACGCGGGCAAAAATTCTTGATTATGCGATTAAACATGCGGGGTTTTTACGTATTTTTATGCGGTGAAATTGCGGGAATTTGCAAAATATGCGGAAAGTTGCAAAAAATAATAGATTTTTTTTTAAATATTGGGCTGTCATATTTATTCTCTCTCACACACAACCTGCCACGAGTAGTGGTGTGTACCTGGACTCACATTCAGGTTCAGGTCCGGACTCAAGTCCAGAGGTTCAGGTTCAGGTCCGGACTTATAAGTCCGGACTTGTGTCAAGTTGTGTGAGTAACTAAAGTGAACTTATTGTGAGCTAATTATCAATTGAAAATAAACTCATAATCAACTCAAATTCAAACTCGTCAGGTTTATTGTGCCCCCTTCCAACTTGTGTCTACACCATGTCTTTTCTAGAACTCTACATGTGTTACTAACTACACAACACAACTACATACATAGTGATGTACATACAAGACTCAATATGCAAGAGTACAAGTCTATGTGTTCTTGTTCAAGAACAACAGCATATTGACATTGTCTGGGTGAAGTGTTGCTCTTTCGGCAGACGCTATATCACCATACATACAAAGGAGTTAGCTTAGCTACACTACCATATATGGCAACCAGCATCCCACGCTGTCAGTGTCCACTATGTCTAAGCCAGCTTCCCTTGACGTCACACAGATCTCGCGAGCAGTTGCGATATTTTGCGAGACTTCGTGAGCTCAGTAATGGCCGCCATAT